ATAAATAAGGTGCAGGGCTGGCCAGCTCAGCAGTTACTCGGGGCAAAGGGGTGGGCCGTGTGCACACCTTCAGTCACGCACACTACCGGATCGCTCAGGGACGCTGACGTTAAGTGACAATCAAGTGGGATTGGGGAAAAGGGTAGATTCCAGGTGATAAGTTTGAGTAAGATGCCATGCTGTGAACAGACCCAACAAATGATATTATTTTATTTTTGATTAGTTAGATGGACAGCCATTGACATTTGACAGACAGCATAGTTTAGAACTATTATTGTTCATTGTGCTTTCTGTTTGCGAGCTAGTCAAAACAGGATAGTATCATATGTAGGAATCTGCACTTCCCTGTTGGACCCAAATGTATCTACTCCGAATTAGCCACCAATTAATTATTTATTTATTTTAAATTAGTCTGGGCATTACGCTGTGGTAGGTACCTAGAGTAACCTAGTGCAGATTGTGCTCAGTGCTGTAGCCTATGAGCGATAGGGAGGAACAGCAACCAGACGACCGGATCCTGCGATCAGCAAGACGCTCAGTTGCCCACTTGGCTTTAGGACCAGAGGGTGACAGATCCTTGTTCCCACAGCTTAGGGAGAGGAGGCGGCAGCAGCAGATAGCTAAGGATGCAGAAGCAAGCAGGGCATTCGTAGGTGAAGCCTCTACTTCAGCAGCCATGGCCAGCGCTGCACAGCAATCCTCTCAGGCTGGGAGTTCAGGAGCTCTAGGGTCAACTGCGGCGCAGACCCAGAGTCAGTCGGCTGGCGTAATGGCGAGCCAGTCAAATGTGTTGTCACTCGAGGGATCGCCATACAGCAGGCTGCCCTGCAAGAGGCACAACTACAGAAGGCTTTAGGGGAGATAAAGGCGGAGAAAGAGAGTGATTAGAAGAGTGGCCAGGATGCAGGGAAGAGAACCGGACGTTAGGCAAATGGATCTGACCAATATGCATGCGGATGTGAGGGCAGTTCAGACGGCTCTGCTAGGAGTCATAGAGACGCAGGACCATCAGACTGCCATCCTCCAAGGCATTCAGCAGAGTCTAGCCTGGCTGGTTGGACGATTGCAGGCGGCTCCATTACCGTCAAGGCCTGGTGCCTGGCCCGTGGCACATCCTCCTCCTCCTATCCCACCGGTTATTGGGGTATCCCCATATGTAGCCCCATCATCGGTCGTTATCGTTTCCCAGGGCATGCCGCTATCAGGAGGGTTATCAGCAGGACCTAGTGTTCAGATTCCTGTACAAACAGTGTTATCCCAACCTCCATCGCAGGTTGCCATCAGTGGGCAATCTGTTGTTCCGCAGCCTGCGCAGCCGTAGGGGACACAGCCCCAATAGCAACAGGTGCAGCAGCCTGTTCCCCAGAGTCCACAGCCAAGTGTGGGACAGGTGCAAGGACAAACACAGTGGGTTCCGAACACGACAATCACTGCTCCTAAACCCTTTTCAGGGGATAAGAGGGGCGAAGACCTCGACACATGGTTGAGGGCGGTGCCGGTATATGTTAAGTGTAAGTTGACCTTGCCGCACGAGGAAGTGCTTGCGGCTGCTTCCTATCTAGAGGGGAATGCAGCAAGATGGTTGAGTGGGTTAGTACAACTACAGGGATACGGTCATGACTTCCGCGCTTGGGCAGCCAGCCAAAAGCTGGATGACTTCCTCAAGCTGGTGGAGGAAAGGTGGCATGATCCTCAGGAGGCTCAAAAGGCCACTGGCGCGATCCTGACCTTGAGCGCTCGTTCGTTCAAGTCAGTTAGGGAGGCCACAGACGCAGTAGAGCGTCTGATCTGTGTCCCTGGGGCCCGCTATGACCCCCAAGTCTTACCGACGACTTACCTGAGGTGTCTGCCGATGCCAATCAGGAATCAGTTGGCAGTTGAGGCTAACATCAATGTGCACAACTTTCCATCGTTCAGCAAGAAGGCCCTAGACCTTGAAGCTAAGATAGGGCATGGACACAACCCATCGACAAACGGTAGGAAAAAGACACTGCCTCCCAATTGGAAGGCGAAGGGGCGCATCATGTTCGTCGACAATGATGGTTCAACCATCGAGTTGGACGACGACCCCCAGTTGGGAGCTGGTTCACAGGCAGGCAGCGTAGAGGCTTCAGAGGGTGGAGTAGTCGCTGCCATAACGCAACAAAAAGGTAAGGGGACTAGATGCGGAGGAGGCCCCCCGGTCCAGGAGTCAAGTCGATCACAATGCTCCTCCATGAGAGAGAGCGGGTCTCACAGAGGACGGGTGGAGAGACCGGTACACCCGGCAAGCTTGTATTCGTTGTGGTCAATATGGCCATAACCAATTCAAGTGTCGCAACAAGAAGGTTACCGAGAAGATCCCACCTACTATGGGGCAGGCGGTAGGATCCTCCGCTTCCGTTGGTAGCAATGTTGCCAGCACTTCAGGCACTGCTCCGAGAAACACGTCGGGCTAGTAGGAATAGTAGTTGTTCCTGCTAGGGTCGAGGTGGTGGATACACCCTCACCATCTCGAGAGATGGCCCAAGCTACCGACTCCATCGTCGTCCCGCACACGTTCAGACCAATCGAGCCTCTGTTCGATGAATGTGTTCGAGTCCTTGGAGGAGCTAGAGGAGGAGTGGTCTAGATCAGACCCGCTAGCTTCTTGGATGACATTAGTCAAAGCCCCTAAGGGTGAGATGTTCGTCAG